TGGTGAGAACTTGTAGCTATTTGGTCTTTAGAGAGGGGAATAGCATTTCCTTTTCTTGTCTTCCTTTAAATCACGTTTCAGAATATCCAAATAGGATCTTAGGAGACTATCTAAAGGAGAATTCATTTTAAATTTGACCCCAGTCAGCAATGAACTTTGCAAAATATTCAAGGGTCAGTGTCAACATAAAAGGGTATGAGGACCAATAACCAATTGGTGCTGATGACTACTGCTGGCAGATACTAAGAGATGCATTCACATAATTCGTGAAGATTAACAATTATTAAACATTTAAGTGTTTTTATTTTAGAGAACCTGCTGGAATTGCCAAAAGTCTGGAATAACTACAACCAAATTATTATTTGTACAGTCACAGTAACCAACTGTGATAATGCTTAAATCCCTACATGGGACCTCACTGAACCAGACGCTGTAAGTATCTGGAATTCTGTGCAGGAACTGTAAGTAACAGTTCCTGCACAGAATTTCAAATGCATTATTCCACTAACACAGTAAAGCTCATAATTTCAACTGAGCACATCAGTACACTGGTGCCTGAAGTACCCTTTTTGTCGTTGAACTTCCTCTCAGCTTCCTCCACCTGAACAACCAATGTCATGAGGCTACTCCAGTCTATTAATGATTAGATTTCTTACTTTTGAAAAGTTTAGTACTATTATAAAATATTTTAATGTAATTGAGTATAAGTTCCATACCACTACAGAAATATTTGCATCAATATTAATGATCCATTTTTCTCAAGCCTTTCTATTTTGTGCTTGAAAAACCATGTAGCTACAGGGAAAAGCAGCAGCTGATGAAGCCTCAAGATGTCTAAATTACAAGAGACTTCAGTTGTTCACACAAAACAGGAAAGCTGTTGGGGTTTGTCATTATTCTAGCTTGTTACAAATGCTTGTTGTTTCCATGGACTAGACAAACTACATTCTCCAATCAAAATACGGAGCTAGGCAGCGATGTAAAAAGGGAAGCAAAGATTAAAGGCAGCAGCAAGGCATGTGATTCCAATACTTTCTGCTTTTGAGCAGTGTTCCTAGTGCCACTGAAAATAACTTTGTGCAGGAAGATGGAGTCTAATACAGGTAATTTTGGAGTAACTTCCATGTATTTACAGATCACAACAAATTCAGAAAAAGCGAACGCTCATGTACTTGCATTTCTGACTCTGGAGCAGACTTCGAACAGGCAAACAGGGTGAACTTTTTATTGTTCATTTCACTTCAGAAGCTGAAGAAAGCAGTGCACTGGTGTATTTAAAACTATTTGCTCTCTTTTGTCAGATCTGGTCACTGCACTGGTGAAAGCTGGGAAAGGACAAAGTCGCATTCTTCCATCCCAACAGATTTTGGCAGTGAGTAGCAGTGAAGAATGAAGCTATTCATTCCCCCTTCCCAGTTCTCATTCTGGAAAGATTTCTCTTTTTCCCTAGAACAGGGATAGCTAGATAAATATTGCCCTCTCAAAGGAATCAACCAAAATTGATTGACTGCAAGTATAGAATTACATAAAGATGACTGTCAGGCTATCTCTGACCCCTGATGGAAGACAGTTAAAGATTTTTCATTAACAAGGTTTAAATGAGTATTTCATTGGCATATGAGTGTCATGAAGTTCAGGATGCAGCTCTGCCTTCATAAGCAGAAAGATGAAGCTTTCCCCCAATGCATTTTACCAAACCTCTTATGTTCTGTTACTGTTTTTACATAAGTCAGTATCTTATACACTCCTAAACTTCGAGGAGGTGAGACATACTAAAATTTGTAATCACACACTTTCAGAGAACACTGCATTCCTCTGAAGTAACAGCAAGCTACAGGACTTAAGCTTATTGCAAGGCTTTAGTGGCTATATTGCAGTTCCATGCGGTTCAGTCTGAAGAGGATACCACAAACACCTCTTTTACTAATAGATTAACAACAAAAGTAAGTACAGGAGAAGAGCAAATCAATACATTTTGTAACAAACACCATAAGTGGAAATTTATATTTTTTTCTAAAACAACCTTCAAAGGCAGGAAACAAAGTGTTTTTAATTCTTATTCTTAGGTGACTTTTTTCAGGACTCATTTCCAAACTATTAACCTTCCTCTCTGAAGGGTGTGCTCGTTTGGTGCTACTGTAACCTACATGTCTTTGCAATTTGAAACACAGAGAATTTAAAGTATGCGGAGAGTATCTAATCTGTGTGTATCTTTTTTAAACAACCACTCTCAAATGACCTCTTGGTTAGCTACATCATAGCCTGAAAATTTTTATTCAATCTCTTCTACCCTAGAAAAAACACTGATGATCTACTCTTATGTTTTCTTAATACAATTTGCACTTCCTTCTTGAAATCTCAAGTCTCTTTTGCCCAGTGAAGGAACCACACTGGCATACTGCTGATCCATACCTCATGTAATTCCCTGCTATGCAAATGTTCTTGCTCTCTAATCAGGTTACTACCACCCCAGTATCTGTAACCTCTAAAGTTACTCAGCACCTCATATGACAGCAGCTGGATAGCTGTGACTATACTGAATTGGCAGCTGTTTGTAAGATTAGCTCATTACAGGCATCTTAGCTTGCTTATTATATATCAGCTACAATTCAAAAACCATTGAGACATTTTTGCTACTGTTCTCTCCAATTAACCAATTTTACATTTTTCCCCTCTCTGTCTGAACTAAAGTAGAGCTCAGCAGGCCAAAATATTCTTAAATAAGCTGTGTTAATTTGTTTTAGTTTATGCAGAAGTGGTGTTTCAGCATAACAGGACCTAGAGGCTACTGACTAATCTTCTTACAGACCTGGTAATCTTTGTAATGCACTCACCAAGCAGAGAGGTGCACAAGGCATCCCTGACAGCAGTCCTTAAAGGGGACATGAGCCAAAGAGCCTGCAGCACCACCCACAGCAGCCTTCTCTCACACCAAGGTGGAGAAAAAGTGCTTAGGAATGGGTTTAGCTCAAACACATACTGCTAAACATCTCTCTTGGCACCTGGTTCCTTTTACTCTTGAGGGAGCAAGAAAAATCATTGCTACTTCACTGGAAGTTAGATAAATCCTCAGGCTTCCCTGGAAGGGAGGGTAGCCCAAAAAGAGATAACAGTACCAGGTGTTTTACTCTCTCTGCTTGCCCAGAATGTGATAAAGCATCTAAAGCTTTATCACATTCTGGGGAAAGCAGAGTAAGGGAAATCTAATTTCCATATTTTTTTTAAGTTCATTAAAAAAACCCAGAAAAATATCCTGTCTGGGTGCATTTGTCTGATAACCAGTAAATCTATCAGAGTTCAGTGCTGTTGTAAAGGAGGATCCTGTCCTCTCCACCCCTTCTAGCAACACTACTTATTTTCACTGTGGCTCTGGTATTCCCTTGACCCCTTCTATGAACCTATTTGACTCACTATTTACAGACTTAAAAAAAAACCAAAACCTAAAGAAATCCAACACCTTAAAAAAAAGTTAAAAACAAAGACAGCTAAAAAATATTGTTTACCATTTTGTAGGCTACATTGTTCACTGAAACATGCAGTGATTCCTGGAAGGGACAGAGGAGAGGGGAAGTGGGGGAGGGAGCAAGAAGAGTGCCTTCACCTTGCTCAGGGCACTGAAGCTTGTACTTTGGCTCAGCTGCCTGTGAAAGTGCAGCCTGACTTGCTCAGAAGGATTTGAGAGCACTTAATCAAACCACATCACTCTTCTCTATGTAAACACAGAGAGCACTAACACCTACTTCAGAGAGCAGGTACAGACTGGTTACCTAACAGGAGGGATGGATCATCAGCAAGCTTGACTCAAAACAACACCTCAAAAAAACCTTCTGGGAGGGTTACCTAAGGCAACTGAAAAATGCCAGGAAAGCAGCTCACCCCTTTCAAAAAGAGGGTGGACTACACAACACCATACAGGTAGTGACCTACAGATAGACAAGTTAAGAACATTTATGCCTTTTACTCCCACTGATTTCAGAAAAGTTCACCAGGCTGCAGTCTGCATACATGCACCTCTGCCCCCTATATTTATCTCACTGCCCTGTCACACATAGGTTTATACAAAATAAAGCAGTTGCATTTCCTTTACTATCACCCAATATTACTTACTCATATTCTTAAAAATTCTGTAAACAGACCAAGGCAAGTGGAAGACTTTTCAGAATGATCTGAACAAAACTCAGTGACTGTGCTGGGGGAATGAAGCCCAAGTACCTGGATGTTTATGTTTACGTTGGGACGCTCAGTTGGCGCGGGGCTGCTGCGCTCTGTCTCCAGCTGTTTCAGTTTTAGGAATGTGTCCTCAAATGCTGAAAAAGACAGAAAAAATATCATCTTCCTAATGTTACCGTGGAGTTATTTGCCTTGTAATGTGCATTCTTCCTGAATACTAATTAGGTGGGTTTGAAGTTGTGCAAAAAAGCACAGGGATGGGAGAATCTACCTATTTGCTCAGGCTTCAGTGCAAGTTTCAGTCCTACAGAGTGTGTGTACCTAATCACAGTGCTCTGCACTCCTGCGAGTTCATCTACCCCACCATCCTTACAGGGAATGAGCAAGCACACAGACTTAATTGCTTTTATGGCTGCACTTCACTGTATTTGTGGCTAAAGTCAGATCCAACAAAGATCTGACTTTTCCTATGTACCTCTGTCCGTGTAAATAAGCTTTGTTGTCCCAGTGGTGGGTAAAACTGTCCTTATGCATATAACCTAAGGGATCTTCCTAGAACAGTTCTGCACTTCTGTAAGGAAACAATCTCATAGCAACCTAACTATTCACCTTTGACCCCACCCACCATAATACGAAAAAATCTGTAAATTTGCTTACGATCAGAGTCTGCTTTCTCAGCAGCAGTTTCCTTCGTGCCAGGATGAGGGCAACTAACAGCCTCTTCTGAATCTCCTGTTGCCAAGCCAACAACTGGACGGCCTATGGCATCATCAACACAGGATTCTGGCAGCTCTGTGCTGTCTAGCAAATCAACAAGAGGGATGCTGCAAAGGCAGAAAGATGGGCAGAGATACGCAGAATCATGTTACCACTCTTCCTGTAACAAGAAAAAGCTTTGACACATGTAATCTCTTTTTTTCAAGCTGTCTTCTGCTAACCAGACACATTCTGTAAAAAGTGTTTCAGGTAACTAAACAGACATTGGCTCTCAGTGAGCTTAAAAAACATAACAAAGGGAACATTTTATGTCTGTGTAAGTTGCTTCATAAAAAAACAGGTTTATGTTGCCCACTGCATCATCACACACCAGTGGAAAAAGTGAAGAGAGAAGAAGGGAAGTTTTTAAACCATTAAATGCGCTGTTTTGGAACAAACATTTGTAGTTTTTCTAACAGACTCAAGGTAGCCTTTAGGATTTTTACATGAGAAAAAGAAAAGTGAGGGGGAGGGAAGTTGGTATCACAAGAAGTTGTTTGTGCAGCACTTCACCCAACACTTGCAAGCAGAACAGAGGGCAGAAGGGTGCACTGCACAGGTCTGCATTGATACTGTTATGGTCAGGCATACCTATTAACAGTTTCAGTTTTTTAACTTCGGCAGAGACGTGAATGAAACTTTAGCAGTCACAATATTTTAAGTGAACCACAGCGTGTACGCTGTACCCTGCCAGGATCACTTGTTTCACCTCCTTTGCCGTCTGACGGAAATGTCTCCTTTTTATTTTGCCCTACAAGCTGTACTTCCAATGAACAAAGAGAAACAATTATGAAAAGAAAAATTATATTATGATGTTGTGCCAGCATTCAGGAATCTCATACATCCCTTCCAAGTTTGGGAGCAGCTAAAGCTCTCCTAACAGCCAACTAACAAACAGAGGAACAACTGCTGCAGAACATGAAGCTTAATCAGACGCGGCCTGTGCACACAACTGCAGCTTGATTATTGCCCATTTCAGTCAACAATTACCTGCTGCAATATTAGTTTAAGAAGAGAAATCTATCACTTTTGAAAGTCCTACCCCAAATATGAGAACGATGACATCAAGCTAGCACCCACAATAGAACTTACCCTTTAGCACAGACAAGAGATGCTTCCTACTGCATAGTTTAGACCAGTTTCTCCCCTACCACTACCAGTTTAATGCCCCATGCCTCTCTCCAGACCCTGGAATCTGGAAGCAGTGCCCTGTTGCCACTAGAGGCTCCAGGAAAAAACTCTCCCCCTCCAGCTCAAGCACCCAAAAGAATCTTTCCAATGTTAAATATATAGCTCTGAAACAGATTACAGAATATCATCATTTTAGTGCCAATAATGCACAATTTTCTTCCTATTTTCTGACAGTTTTCTGTAAATATCCTCCCAGTTGTTTAATATGACAACCATTATAAAAGCTCAGATTTTGCCTGCAGCACAGAGAGGTGCTGACACCATGTGTTGAAGAAACTTGGAATAAGTTCCCATGAACTCTACATCAGAGACATGATGTAGAGCATCAGTAACACTTCTTTGTGCTTAAATCTTCTAATTCTTTTCTTAGCATTGTAGCACAGAGGAGAGGAAATGAGTGAAAAATGAGATTTATCTTTACTAGAAAACTGCTAGGATAATTATACCAGCCTTTTCCTCCTCATGACAACTGCAATATTTACTAGACAGACAAGAGAGTTGATTCAAAAACTTGCCCATTATAGATCAGGGCAGTCTTAAAATGTGACAACACATTAAAATGGCACACTCATGTTCCAAAACCTGCTTACACTGAAGTGACCAAAGTTTGTACAAAAACTTATTGCCATTTGTGCCATGGGACGGAGAACTGGCTGGGGTACAAGGACAACTTGGATGAGACCCTGCAGCTTCACCCCTGCATCATGACAGGGCCTCAGGGAAACTAAATGACTTTTAGGTGGACTCAGGGAAGCCTCCTAGGCCAAGATTCAAGTAGGAATTGACCCCATCTTGCCTTCAGACCCACTGAAACACCTACTCAGCTACCCTGAGATACGCAGTCAACAAGAGGAAAGTCATACTAGGGAGACCCTCAGCCACTGGAATTTGCAGGCACAAAAGTGGAGTTCTCCAAACACCATCAAATCATTGGAGGCCACCCAGACTCTCACCCTTTTCAGAGCACCTGCAGGAGGACTACCATGCTGGCTTCATAAATGACCAAACTAGGGAAATAAAAAGCACAAGATACTACTTGCATCACTGCACAGAATTTCTGACATCTCTTACAAACACACTGATGAACTGTCCCACCAATCATAAAGGAAATAGCCAAAGGCTGCCTAGGAAAAGTAGGACTTTACAACAGTCAGCTTGCCCTTCTCAACCATGAAAAGGGCATTAACTTTCCACATTCCTGTATTTACACACATACCAGGGGATATTTTGAACTTTGCACAGCAGTAAGTGACAGGCTTTGTGTCTTCAGAATCAACTTCCACCAGCATATTTTAAGAAATACTCTGAGGGGAAATGCTGATAAAAGATACCAGGAGTTCATGCCACATAAATAATTATGCATATAGGAATAATGAAGGGTTGTAGTACATGGAAAGGTTTGTCAACCCAGTAATAAATCACACAGAAGTCATTATATGCTCAGGGATTTCACACAGTTAAGGGAGTAGCTACTCCATTCTCTCTTCTTTTTTCCTAACAAATATATTGATATTAGTATGTACCACACAGCATTCAATGTATAATGTGACTGAGAAAGCTGCCAGTTACAACTGGTGTGGTTTTAATTTCCTAGTTGAAAAGCAAAACCATACTTCATGCTGGTTTATGAAATACAATCTTCCAAATACACTAACTGAGTCTGCTACAAAAGACTTAATTCTCTTGAAAACCATCTAATTTCAAACAGCATGGAGTACCATGCAAGCTCATTTATTTTTTCAAACTAGTAGTGACACAGAAAAGTCTCTGACACAAACTCTGCAAGGTAGTACAACATTATGAAATTCTTTGTTAATTTTCTTAATTTTGGTGCATCCAATGTTGTACCTGAAGAAGAGTAGTGAATTTAAACCTTTTCAGAGGTTTTTCCTAAATGAAAACACAAAATATTCAGGAAAAAAAAAGAGCTTTCTTTTCCCAATAAAGTATAGAAAGCAAAAGGAAAAATCCTGGGATGTAAGATCTGACAAACAGAGACAGCTCACACACATTCAGTTTCTAATCAAGCAAGTACCACATTCCAAGACTTCTGCTGTCTTCCATTTGTTTGAAGATAATTCCAAATACTGACAAAAGTGCAAGTGAACAACTACAGCAAAGGATAGAAACGACCCTTGGGAAAAGGTGCTGACTGCAGGACCTTCAGGGATACCAAACAAAGCAAAAAGAATATCACCACCACACTGTTTAGAAAGACATCCACGTGCTTCCTCATTGCAATTCCTGGAGCATGTGACCTGTGCCTGTAAAAATGCAGCTTGGTGCTGTTGGGATCAGCATCTGCTACTGAGAGCTGTCACTCACCCTAATGGATACTAAGAGAGTAATTCTCCTAAAGTCAATGAAGGCACACCAAAATAAGCCTAGCACAGAGGAAAATCTACCCTCAGGTTGTATCCAAGATTCACAGCCACGGGTACAAAAGCATGCAAGGTATACCCCACTGAAACAACTTAATCCTAAAGGTAGATGGACTTTAGGCAACCAGGGCTGAATCTGTCATGCAAAAAATCTACTACAAAAACCTTTGTCACAGCTTTAATTACCGAACTTACGATTAATCCCAGGGCAGTCCATGACCATCAGGAGGGTCACCAGCCCTCTGCTCAGCACTGGGCAGACACCCCACAGTGCTGTGCCCAGCTCTGGGCTTCCCAGGGCAAGAGAGACACAGACATACTGGGGGGAGAGCAGCAAAGGGTCACAAAGATAACAAAGGGGATGGAGCACCTGAGATAGGAGGAGAGGTTGAGAAAGCTGGGATTCTCAGCCTGGGGAAGTGAAAACTCAGGAGGATCTCACCAATGTTTATAAAAAGCTGATGGAGGGAGTAAAGACAACAGTAAAACTCTTCTCAAGGGAGGCCAAAGAAAGGACAAGAGGCGATGGGCACAAACTGAAATACAGGAAACTCCGTTTAAACAAAAGAAAAAAACCCCAACTTTTCTTCCTATGAGGTTGGTGAAACACGTCTCTCATGGAAGGTGTGAAGTCTCCATCATTGTAGATACTGAAAACCTGGCTGGCATGGTCCTAAGCAACCTGCTCCACTCAAACCTGCTCTTGGCATGGCCGTGGACTAATTATCTCTGGAGGCACCTTCCAGCCTCCACTACTCTTTAATTCTTTGGCAGCCTCACAAAACTTCTCTGATATCTGAGAAGTCTGCCACTACTTGCAGTGGCCTGACTCTACAAAAGCACATCTGAACTTAAAACTGCAATAAAACAGTGACTTGTTATTGCAACAGTGTTCTTGCATTTTAAACACAAAAGCATCCCAAATTATTCCATTCAAATTAGTGGTTTCTTCTCCTTCAACTACACAGACATTTTATGATATTGTTAAGTTAAAACACCTGTTTTCATTTTCATATTCTTATGCAACGTTATAAATAATAAAGGAACACACGAGTTTGCTTCACTCCAGAAGTTTACAACATCCACCATGCAAAATCTAAAACTAAAAACAGCACAACAGATTACTCCTATCACCTTGGTAGACCTCACAGATCTTTAATATACAGCTTGCACATCTCTTTTTTTTTTTTAAGCAGAGTTGTAAAATAGACTTTTCATTATCAATCTCCTTCCCCCTGTCAGATGCAGGGGTGAGGAGGCCAAAGTATCTCAGGTAATATTAAGCTATTTCCTGGTTGACACTTTATTTCTTGGTTCTTCTGGGCTGAATATCTGGAAACAATATTTCTGGGCTCTGTGACAATTTGAAACATAGTGAAACAATTTGAAAATCATTCAAACACCTTCTTTTTCCTAAAAATCAAATATAAATGAATTTCAAAAGCCCTCTACTACAGCTTTTCATCCTTTTTTCTTTATAACAGGTGAAGAATATTGCATTTTAAAAGTAGCTAACTTCAGAAAACACATGAAAACACAGTGTGTTCAAGGGTAAAGGTCTGTTTTTCATGTTGTTAAAGGCCCCCAAGGACACCAATGAGCCATGAAGCTGGAGTCTTAACCTCTGACTTAAAAATTAACCCCGTGAATCATATGGTTGAACTGGTGTCTGTCAGGAAATATTTCTCTTTCTTTTCAACTGAAGAACAGCAGCAAAAAGAAAATTTTTTTGAAAGATAAAGGATTACTCTTTGCCTTCTTGGGAATTTTGATAATTTTATTCTTAAAAAATGAAAATAATTCTATTTCATTTTCAAACAATCTGTTTCAGGAAGAGGTCTTATTGGGAAAAAAAAAAATAAAAAGGTTAGTTTTCAGATCAAGCACGTACCTTAGATATTTTCACATGACCATGGTTCAAAAGGAGGGGCAGTAACATCCTGCTTCTCTTAGATTTTTGAAACCACATTATAACCCACTAGATTCATGTATAGTTTTTTAACAAATGTGACTTCCTGCATGGCTTTCAAAGATCAACCCAGCTAAAAAAAAAAAGTAAATCTTTCAAGCTTAAGGAAAACCATAACATAATTTAAAGGATCTATCTAGATATAAATATAGATAGATATATATTGTTTCTAATGTAAGAGTGACGTGTGGCTTCTGGTCTACACGCTCTTTTTTCTTTGAAGCCTAAATACCAACAGTACAATATGCAGAGCTTTTGTCATAAAGCTTTGCCCTCCCTCTACAGTCAGCCCTGGGTCCGTTGTTCTTATCTCAGAGACAGCTCAAGAGGCAATTTCCCAGGCTCTGCTGGGAAGCAGTCCCAAGCTCCAGCAAGGCCCCCATCTCAGAGGCTGGTCATGGTGGTTTGGACAGCATAGGCACCAGCACTGCTGTGCATCCCCGCGTTCTTCGCATTGCGCTCGTGGACGAACGCGGGGCACCGTCCGTCCACGCCGCTCCTCGGCGGGGCCCACGCGTCCCACGCGCTTCCACCACGGAGACAACGGTCGGCAGCGTCAAAGGGCCTGGAGTGTTGGGGAGCGGGAGGGGGCACAATTAGTAAATGGGCACGGAGGAGGAAGAGGGTGGAAGAGTAAAGGAAAGGTAAAGATGAGACGATCGGTGCGAAAAGGCGAGGAAAGAAGGGCATTGCCGGGAGGGAACCGCTGAAGGAGGAGACATGCAATGTACGTGCACATGAGGACACTGCCAAATAAACCCCTTTTCTGCACAGTATCACGCACATTTTTGCACAAGTCTGAAACGACCAGTTAAGCTCTCTCATGTGTACATTGCCTACACTTACCAAATGAAGAGCTCTTCATATTTCAAAGCGCTTCACAAAACTGAGTAAGAGCTGTGTGCGTTTTACAGAAGGAGGAAGTAACACGATGGAGGAACAAGCCTCCCAAGTATACAGCATGTTTTGTTTGCAGAAAACAAGTTTAAGTGGCAGGTCTAAATGTACACCCGAAACCAACACCTATAAGCAATACCAGTTTTCAATGTCACTGGAAAGCGCAGATTATAATGCAAGTTTCAAAGAAAAAAAAGGAGAAGAAAATAGAAACTCAGAAAAATGAGTGTTACTACGCACGAAAAAAAAAGTAGAGCAAACACAAATAATTCACAATTTAGGTGACTAAGGGACTAATACTACTGAAGAAGAAGTTGACTGCCGCTATGACTTGGATTAACGTAAAAAAATTTAGTTGGAAAAGGACCATTTTACAAAAGGTCACAATACAAACTGAGATCTTGCTTTCTAATTTTGCATGTGAAGGCATAATGGTTTGTAAATTTTAAAATTCTGAATTACCAAAATCAAACCCACAGAAATGCCATGCACAGTTAGAATAAAGTCCTCCAAAAGTTAGAAAAAAAGAGTAAGGGAGAACACTCACCACTTTAAACAGTGTTTTGAAAAATATTTTTATGCAGGAGCCCTTAGCTAGAAAACTGGAAGGCTTTAGGCACAAGCATCTCCAAAGTAGCAAGGATAGGCAATTTACTGAAACAGCTGAATTTTAAAATACTTTAAAAGTGGGCAATGATCAGAGTAACAGATAACAGATGTTATCTGTTGTCTGTGCAGCATTAGGATCCTTCACTGGTATGTTTTAGGAGACACTGATGTGAAGGTACAGCCAGGTATCAAAAAAGTGCTTTGAATAAAGCACTTCATAAACTATTGAAGCAAGGACATTCCTAAAACAAAGGTGTTTCTTCAGTTTGATGTAAAAGACTCTACTTAATGAGCCAAATCCAAACAAAGTGGAATGATTGTTGCTGTTCACATAGAGGGGTTGGACAGCCTTCAGCTCAAATTCCACCTTCTCATGTTCCAGAACAGCCAAGCAGCCAGAGCGTGAGCTGGAAGATCACAGTGTTAAGGCAGGGAAGCAGGAAAGCATGCAGGATTCTCAACAGTGGTAAATGATTAATGTTCAGGATAGTCCTCCTTTAGAAAAGAGACAGGTTTTATTTAAAGGTCACCCATGGGTAGATTCAAAATTTTGGTTTTTTGTGAAATATGCCAAGGGAGTGACCTGTACATACTGAGGGCTCCAATCCTCAACAGTTTTTACATTATTTTCCCATCTCTTTCACTGTATGCAATTAAGGGAAAGCTACATCCACCAGCAGCTCAAAAAAAAAAAAGAAAAAAAAAAAAATCCCCAACTTACTCCACAAGAAAGATGAAAATATCAAACTTTTGTCTCCTGTCCTGTCTTGGCACAGAAAGAGCTTCTTGAAAAAAGACTAAACTTAGAATGATACAGTTCATGTTTTAGGCTTCCCAGACTTGCAGCCAATATTCCAGAACACTTTCAGATCCTGCAGACCAGTACAGCTTTCATGTACTGACAATTATACAGGAATGGAGCAAAGTAAAAAAAAAAACCAAAAACAAAAATAAAACTAAAAATCCCACACTAAAATCCTTTCTCACTGGCCAAGTACTTTCTGCAATCTGGCACAATTGTTGTTGGCAGCTGCAGCATTAACATTTTAAATTAAAGGAAACATTGACATTAGGAGGGATCTAAGCTGCCAGGTAGCCAGTACAGGCATCTGCCAAGCAGAGCAGAGAAATCCATGAGGTCAGGACCTTACTTCTAAGCTCCTTCAATCCAACTATCTACCAAGTCCACAGTCCAAAAGATTTTGGTGTTCTCAACAATTATTGGCAAGCTCTCTCTAAAAGAAGACTATTTTTCTGACAGAAAGTAACGATAACTCATGCAGAAACAGGCCAATTAAAGACAGTAGTAGTTGGAAGGAGACCTTGTTAGCAGCGCCCAGAAAACCTTGCAGGTGCAATAGCCAAGTCACAGCCCCTGGTAATAAATAGGTATGTTCTGGCAATTACATTAACCTAATCCCACTTCCCATCTAGGACACCAGAGTGTAGCTCAATTGCTGACTCAGCTCCAAACTGTTGTATTCTTCCTACAGTTGGATTTGCCCTTTATTATAGGCAGTACTGTTTCCAGTGAACACACTAAAACCAGAAGACAACTACTTTCAATAATAATGATACGGCTCAAAGAAACATAACACGTTCGCAGTACAAGCACTGCACTCTCAATTAAAATGCATCGATTGCCAAGAAGCTTGTCTTCTTCACAACACACTGTTTTGGGTTACATGCAGGTGCACTTCACATTCATTCCCACTCTTCTATACAAAGGCTACATCCTGCAGCAGCTGGCACGTATGCTTAGATGCCTTGACAATGTTATGACAGACAGGTTCAAGCTCTTAATCCTAAAACAGGTGTACCAAACCCAAAACTGAAACAGATTGGCTATAGAGCCCTCTCTGCTTCAGAACAAAAGCAGTGAGGTTTCAATAAGCAACAGTAGCCTTGCAAATACGAGCAGGAACAGTAGCACCAGCCATATAACCGTGGAGAGCTGCTTGGAGCAAGAGTCAAACATTTCCACCAAAGGAAATAAAGGTTTCTAGCACTCATCTTGCAATTAGGCCAAAAGAACAAAAATAAAACCATACTGAGAATGCTGAAGAATAAAGAGACCACCACCTTTCACCCACCACCACGGAAGGAATCGAGCGATCAACAGGATCCCACCATAGACAAGCACAGAGTTCAGATACTAGATAAATCAAGGGCAAAAGAAAGAAAAACAGCATTGATCATATGTTCTGATTGAAATTTCAATAAAATGCAACTCAGAGCAGAATTACCATGCCCCTTATCATCCAAAAGCAATAGTACTAAAAGTCTTTAAATGAGTACGGTTTATGAAATTAAAATATATTTGTCATTGCACTGTTAGACTAAACAGATATCATCTACTTTTAAGAGATACTGAAGCAAAGCAGGTTCATACGCCTGACAACGGCAGAAAGACTTTTTCTTTTGAGGGCTGAAACTGCTTAGGATAAGAGCTTTTGTGTCACTCCATTCCACTGTTACTGCTCCTGATGAGTCTGGCAAAAGCCAGAATTATCCTTCTAGGATAAGCCATATTGCCTCTGAAGGCACAAGAAGCTGAAGTTAAGATGACATGTGCACAAGAACTGGGTTGATATATGTCAGTTTCAGTTTGAAAATAGTTTTGTAACATAGAATTGGTTTACGAAAAGTTAAAATGATATGTACATTTATCTATCTTCAAACAAATCATCCTCGTTTTGAGATGCATCCAATCCATAAAACAAATACGCTGATTACATTAAATCAAAGCTCTTATCTTCAGCTTGTGTCATTTTCCTCAAGCTCCCATTCTTCCCAAGATCATGAGAAAAGTCACCTATTTCAAAAGGTTCAAAAGATGATTCACAAGGATACCAGCTTACAAGATTCTGTGTTATCCTAAGGATCAAGGTAAGCCCCTGGGCCCAAGATACCAAGCAAAGTGTCACAAAGGGTATTGTGGCAAATGAGAAGGACACAGCTTTCTTCAAGACTTGAAAATGCTACTTCAGCCCCTGAAGAAATTTTCTTTTAGTTGGCAATGACTAAGCCACACATAATTCATTGGAAAAACTCAGCTGCATGATCACTAACTTGATAAAGATACAAGGAGAGCAGCTTACTTAAGTACAGATGAAGGAACAGCTACTTGAATCATGCATAAGCAAACAAAATCCACTTCCCAGCTAAGCAGAACATACCACTTCTTGTCTTGCTGGTTGGCTCCTGGGCTCCTGGGGAGATTTTCTATTTCCACTAAGACTGGGGCAGAAGGAACCGCTGTTAGGACAGGTAGGTTTGGTTTTGCATTCCAGCTCTTTGGAGACAGAACACAAACAAGTTATTATATACATACTAATGACGCAATGACACATTAAAGAGGACAAAACATATCACCACTTCCTCTTATGCACAAAACTAAAGCAAGGACATTGTCTTCTCTTACTTCCATGGCACTGGACACCTACACCCAGTCTTTTCCAGTACTGCACGCAGTACTGGGATCATAGTGAATCCAAGGCTGCTCAAAAATTCCAATAAAGAGCTCTGGCCTGCTGTGTCCTTTTTAAATTCATGCACTAATGCTCTCTTTCTGTAGGAAACTGTGCAATAATGACTGGCACCTTTGAGTTGCAGATCTTTGTTCTGCCATTTCAAGCATACCAGCTCCTGAAAAAAAAATACTCCTTTTGCACAGAAGGCAAAAGGCTGGGCAGAGCAGCAATCTATCAGTGAAGATTGAGTATTTTAATATTAAAACAACCCAAAATCTTGTTTCCACCAATATGGGACCCTTTCTGGTGCACTCTTTATTTGAAATGCTCCAGAAAGCAAGATACTGTCTTTACAAACTCCCAGTCCTGTTTTTTCTGATACACAGAGTTACTTTACACTAACATCATCCCTTTTCAGTGAAACGGGATATTCTGTGTACAAGTACTGAGTAGACAGGTATCTCTGATTTCCTTCTCAATTTCAGAAAACAAAGAATTTTTGCTAACAACATATTCTTTAATTTATAGATGCATTCCCCTCTTTCAGAGAAAAAACACTATCACCAGGAACAATACAGGTGCTAAAGAACTACACTTCCACCTTTTTTTATAAATTTTAATTACCATATAAAATTAACGTGTTTTGGATAACAACAACTCTCACACAAAAGTACTTTGTGTACTTATGAAAATCTGTATTTATAAATAGTGCCATTTCTAGAGTACTGGGGCATGGAGTATCTTCCTTACTCAGCTAAATTAACCAATTATCTTGCTTGTCAATTAGCAGTCATTTCTTGGCATGCAATTTAGTAGTTAACTGTTTTAACTTTCAATTGGTCAATAGCTGTATTTTAAGAGCAAATAACAAAATTCTCACATCCGTTGAAACACAATAAAACTACCTTTAAAACTAATGAAAGAGCGAGTCCTTACTTGTGATCCATTAGTTTGGCTGATAACAGCATTGTTTGCAGTACTGAAAGACAAAAACAATTTAAAACTGAGTCAGATCAACGAACTGCTTTTGCAGACTGATAGAACTGTAAAGATTTTCAGAAAGAAACATGAACACTAACAAAGACATTTTCAAAGTATTTAACTGTTCTCACAAAGAAAACTGAATAACATATGCTTTAGGTCAGCTGTCTCATTCTAGGTAACTGAGGGTAGTACATTATTTTTTTATTTGTTCAAGCTGTAGTTTATCTGTAACTCATCTGGTTTTTCCTCTTCCTTTCCTTAACTAGTTTGGCTTAAAAAGCCTTCCTAATTCAGCAGTAAAGTGGGGCACGTTTAAAGCAAAAATTATATAGTTTTAGTTTAAGTCCCAGCAAATATGACATTGTTTAGAGTTCACCAACATGCTGTAGATACTATGTTTGTCCCATAACTAGAACTTTGAAGCTTCACATCACAAAATTTATCACAAAAATTAACGAGTTTCTTCTGCATACAGAATGGACTCTAATGGACTTAAAAGCAGCAATTCAAATTTATGTGCACAGCAGCTCAACACAGCATTAATAGTAATTTTATATTATTAAATATTTATTGTATTTGATAAATTAAATATCTCTATTCTTGATGATTTCTGAATCTGCAAGAGACATTTCGCATTTTCAAGAGACTTAAAAGCATTATACCTTATACAATAACTATGCATTATAAATCATGCAAAGCAAACTTCTTCCCCAGACTTCTAATCTAAAAAAAGGTTCCAATCTCCTACGATTCATTAATCTGCTGATTTATGGTCTGGACAATAACTATCCAATCTGGCAAGCTGACAATTCAAACAGATTTCTGTATCTACTTCAGTGACTCTTTAGAACTATTTTATTTAAAATATCATAACATCAGCACTGAACAAGCTGTTCCTTGTCTGTTCCCCACTTTGTCCCTTCTCAATTCAAGGAATGTGGAAGCTACCAGAGAATAGTCCACATTTAACAGAAATACTAAGGAATGCCTTCTGGGCAGTACCTTCCCCTGTGTTGAGTTAACACAGAAGAATGGAACAACATACATCTTTCATGATGCATTTCAATTAGCAACACTGAAGTGTAGAGTTTCAGAAATGCCATAGCTTGCTGTGGAGACTAACAACAGTGCCACACCTAGGTGCAGATCAGGAGACTGCAGTCTTATCAGAAGAAACTGCTCATGAAGTTTCTCTTCCCACTCTCAGAATGACCTAAGCAGCCCGAAACTTGGAGAAGGACTCGACATAGCATGACGAGAGCAGTCATTAATCATCAGATGGTTGCATTTTGCAGCAGAGGATCTTTAAGCACTTTAACGACACCCAGCTTGGAAGAATACTTTCTCATTTTATAAAAATAGAAACCAATACAGGAGGTCACAGAGAGTAACTGCAGCCTTGTCCCCACACTTCTCAAACATTTCCCCCCTCTCTCATCCAAGAATCAACCCTCCTGCTACAATAGAAAACATTCAGCTGTATTAAACATGATGTTTTCCAATGTTATTTTGACATTCCTTGACCAGCTCCTCATGGTGCTTAACCTCTACAAGCATCTACTTTTTAAAAAATAATATGGCTGCAATTAATCACTGTGATGTTCACAAGTTATTAGGGCAAACGGCAGAAACCAGAACTGAGTGACTTAGTTCCTTCACTATCAGTGTTCTTAGTTCCTTTTACGCTTCATACCTTCAGGAAGGGTATGAAAACTGTGTGATTCAGATACATATGAGTAATTTACATTGCAACAGCAAGGATGAACTTACACATCCAGGAAGACATTTGGTACAGAAATAAAAAAACAAAAAGCCTCCCGCTTTCAATGTTGATCACAAATAAAAATTAATACTTAAGTATATAAAAATAAATGCAAGTATTGTACAGAATATAAAATCACTACCCTATTTCAAATATTTATTTTACTATCTTTTCTCTGTGACTTTCACTTGATGATGTACTTCAGTCACACAGCCAGAGTAGGTAGATTTCAGAAGGAAGACATCCTCACACACTGTTACCTGATCTCTCTACGTGGCAGCACACAGAACTACAGCTCATATCCAGCAAGAATCATAGCTGGTCACAAACAAACTTCTTCTGCTAGTAAGCAAGTCTGGCAAAATTGTCTATGTGACAACACAAGAGCTTTGCTTTGAACGGTAATTTTTACGTAAAGCAAACAAACACAATACCCACGGCAAAACCACAGTTAAGAGGCTATCACTGTACACCCTCCTTCTGCAGACATGTGCTCAAGAACAGGTGGCAAACATCAGAGAGAAACTCAAATACTGGAATGCACCTCACCTTGTTTCTTCCAGTTTAGCAGTGTGTGCTGCAAAAATATAAAGCGTTAATTAAAATTTAATTTATCATTAGGTTTTGAATTAAATATTAAGTTTATAATTAATAAAAATAACCTAGCACTGCCTCAAAGTAGGCAACCCAAAGAGCAAAAGTTGCATGCAACCCACATAAATGTGAAAAGCAAACCAAGGAGTCAGATTTAAGCAAGTGTGTGAAAGCAGACACGGTAGTCACACTTGACTTGTGCAAGAGTGGGAAAAACAGCCAAAGTATCACATGCTGTCAGGTTGTGACAATAGAGTGCAACCCCCAGCAACAATGAAAAAAACCTCAATGACAAAAATTTTTAAGTCTATTCATAAATTTCAAATATTATCATTAATATATCACTGCTTCCTGGACCCACATTTTCCATCTTCATACTGAGACCTACTGTGCAATCTTCATGGGTGTTTTAACTGCAAAGCAAGCTGGAACAACATGCTTTGGAAACAAGCTCTTTCTAATAAATACATGTGGTCTCCTAAATAAGGCAAAGAAAAGCTAATTTTGAAAATTCAAGAGAAGGGCAAAGTAGCTGCAGAAGGATTCCTACACAGAACTTTTAAAGGAGCTGATTACTTGATTCTCACATTGGATTATACTTCTCAGAATGGAAGTTCTTTTACCTTTCATTTGCAGTGTTCGTCTTGAATATCTCTTGCTGGGCCGTCTTTCAAAGGATGCTGATCTCCTGGCTTTGTTGGTCTTGGTGGTTTGATATTCTGTTTTCCCACTAAAAATGCCATGTAAAATAATAAAGCAATAAATTACTTATTTTTAATGATGGAATAGAGACACTGCTCATCAAAAACATCACACTATTTTCAATTCGTAGCCTAATGTCTGATCTCAGTTCTATTAAAACATCCTAAAATTCACACCTCAAAGGGTCACCTATAAAAGAGGGAAAGACTTTTACAAACATTCTAATATTCACCCCATTTTCCCAAGAAAAATGGTTGAAGCGATCACTCCTTAAACCTTAAGCTGTTGATAAAACACACTTGCCCTTTACATATACTTGTGGTCAGAGTGCATGAGGTTTGGGAGAGGCTGAAAAATGCTATGAGAGAATACAGCTTAACTAATGTTGTTGAAGGTCATAAAGAAAGATAATAGGAGTAAAAACCAGCATCTAGATGCTCTTGTTCCCAGATAAGTATTTTTCTTCAAGTTTGGCCAGACTCTACCCCCATGGCAGTGGCACCCTCATGTTCTGCTGACTCCTTGGTACCACTGATCTTTTCTGAAGGAGACTACATGGTATTGCTATAGATGCTGGAAATCAAAGAAAAATATATGCACACTGCCTGGGGTCAATGCCCCATACCCTTCCACATGTTCTCACCAACCCTGGTGGGGAACCAACATCATCCTGCAGGCTACTCTGGAATCACAAGCCATTCCACAGACTGTTACCTGCACTAGTAGCGCCTTACACAGAACAGGCATTATCTGAGGCTTTTGAAGCATTACCACCCCTCAAACAGCTGGGAACTCAGGAGTCAAAAAACTTGCCATGACCCCAATTGTGCAAGTTAATCATCCATCCTCTATGGTACATCTAAAAACTGTGGCCTTTCCAGATAAAGTGATCTATAAAACACAATGTACTACATGTGCTATATAAGAAATATAAACCTTGAGAAACCTTTGGGTTCCAACTGCACAGACCAGAATCACCAAGATAAATCAGAAAATATGGGTTGGGGGGGAAATCCATATGATTTAATAAAACCAATAATCCAACTCACTCAGCTTGCAAGTTTCTCTGTCCCAGATGAAAGAAAACCAAGTTCTCCCCTGGTTTCATGAATAATCAAAGAGCAGCAGGAACTGACAAAAGAGATGTGCTAATGACAGATGACACTGACCTGTATCGGAACCGAGATCCCAACCGGATGAAGCCTGATCGACTTGAGCTCTTCTGGACAGGACCTCGGAGCCGGAAGAAGGCATGATGTTCCACTGCACATTTCCACAAGTGTTTGCAGGCTTTGGGATGATCCAGTCTGAAGACAAAAGTGTGCTCCTGCTCCTTTCCCTTAAAGCACATAAAGCACACTGACGACTTACAAAGGGACTAAATAAGTCAAAGCTACTACTCCATGCAAGCCAAATAAAATTTGGGTTCTATGAATATTGAAATATATGTTCAAAAATATTTTAGGTAGAAATATCAACTTTTTCAGAAGCTTTAATGACAACTGCTCCATTGTCTGAAGTTGGAAAGGGCTACAGAGTCCACATATTTAACAAGTCAAACCTCTGAATAATTACAAATTAAAGACACTATTACAATAGGAAGCTACTTCTCAATCAGGCTAACATGGTTTCACTTCCAAATTGGATCTGCTCAAATTATCGATGCTCATTTTTTTATTGTCTCTGCTCCATGCATTTCTTTCCCATGGGAACAATTCTGGAACCTGCTTAAGGAATTAATTCCACTAAATGTAGAACATGGCCTTTTTCTAAACTTTTTTGTGCAATGTACACTCTTTCCAAAGTATCTGGTCTAGTTTCACAGGGTATTCCGCTCTTAAAAACAGGTGAGGAAAAAAGTACTCAAATCCATTTATTTTTCACTTAAGTCCCTTCATTTCCCACCTCCCCCCCCGCCAAGTCACAATAAAAAGTCTTGCAGGCATCCACGTTAATTCTCAGAAATGAAATATAGAGATCAGGAGTATGGTAAACTAGTGCTGTACAACCAAGGCTGAGATGTAATTAAACAGATATTTATCTACCTGTTCATCATCTTCAACAACAACCAGAGTGAGTTTGTTTTTCTTGAAGTCAAGCCTTGTTATCTTTGGCCTGCAAGATGAACAGAAAGTGCAGGTTATGTCTAACTCTCTTAGGAACTCCCTGAGAAGGTACTTAATATTCACAGTGCTCTCATATCCCAAACAAATTTTTCTTTTGTTATCGCAAAAGAAACAAAAGAGTAAAAATCTAAAATACATTTGAACGTACATCAGAGAGCTTACCAGAAAAACAAACCAATCTTCGTGTCTCCTTCAAAGACAAGAACTCCCGTAGGTGTCAGTCCCAGGCTGTAATCATTGCCGTCTCTTGCCTAATTGCCAGAAAATACAGATTATGCTCATTTTGGTGTTTGACCCCTTTATCCAATTTACTCCACTGGATCATGTAGTTTATTTGCCCAGCGTTACAATTACACACACATATCTGCTTATACAGCAAACTCTCACGTTTTGATGATCTTATTTACAACTCTTCAATAGAGCTGACTAAAGTGGAAAATTAAAGATTCTTGATTTGTCTGTGTAATAAGGACCTCCTTATGCAGTTCATTGCACTTCCTACTCCACAGGAGATCTATTTTTACTTGTAGTTCTTCAACTGGCAGCAGACTGGACCCCAGCCAATTTTAATTACTAGGATTTTTCACAAAACTCTTCGTTAAATACAAACTGTAGTACATATCACCACACCAATCACATATTTAACACAGAGCAGATATGCCTGGACTAAAGATACCCTCTAGAAATATATACCAAGGTGTGACTGTAATGTTGACACAAAGCCAGATCACTTGTTACAGAGATTGCATGAGTACAATATTCCTTTTTATTCCCTTCCCTCCCCCAAAGTAAAACCCGTGTTGAAATGCAGCACAAAGCCAACATTATCATTTCCAAAGGTCACCACGCTGTGGTTAAACATACCTTGACTATGTGCATGTCTACACCATACATTTCCAGCCACTTAGCTTTGTTTAAGTAGTTAGTTTCAGCCTGTGCTGGTGTTTGCCCCCTGAAATAAAATTTTTGCTGTTAGGTAGGTGCCTGAAAAAGCCAGAAAGGAAAAACTGGTATATGAGGAAAGAGGAAAAGAACTTAGTGAAAGTTTGTGAAAAACCTAAACACTGCTGACACTTGTGCCCTGTCATGAACACCAAGGTCACTTCTGTAAGTTTTAATCTGGAACCGCAGCTGCAGAAGTTACTGCATTGCAAGGTTTTATACCTCATCGTTTTACTCAGACCTTTTGAAAAGCTTCATTTTTCACATTATATCCTCTTACAAAATATGCCAGAACCATATTAAAATTATATTTCTGAACAAAACCACAGAAGAATCGTCAGCAGCATCTTTTAATACATTCTTTTCACAGAAAAATCAGTGCCAACAGCTGGGTAGCATTCACTGGAAGATCTAGTACCTGCATTCCTTCCACTTGTCAAAAACAGCTAGTTCCATCTCTTCAGTCTGAGTGGGAACAAACCTGAACTCAGACACCAGTTCAGGGACATGTTCAGCAGGATCATAGTCTCCAAGTTCAGCTACAAAAGAACAGCAGTGTTAAACACTGTTCCCAACAGACACGGTGGATATTTTTGCATACAGCAGAACTTTTGCTTTGTATTAATTTTTACAAAGTGCTGCTATTCACATATTCCTTAACAAGCTTCCTATAAAGAAAATTTATCAACATCCTTGAAGTTTACCTTTTTTCTTTCTTGTAGAAAGTTTTCAGCGTTTTAATCACTGAAGTATCTACTGAGATGACAGCTGACTAAAGTTGCAATGGAATTTTGCCTTAAATTATTAAAACAACAAATCTCTTGAGATTTATAAAATGCAAAACCAGTTCTGACACTTTTCATAAAACTATTTGTCCATTCTAAAAATCAGCTTCTGGTTTTATGATTCAATATCCCCCTGTCCTGCTAAAATTACTCTGTGTCAGGGCACAATCATGCAGCTGTTATTTGTTGCTCTCCTTTTCATCTCAGAACATAATAAATGCCCTACAGGGTCAGTCAAATGGCTCATCCAGTCCACTGCTGCATGCTCAGAGGGGCAGTGAGAGATGCTATTTACAGAGCATATTGGAACATACTAGTCAATGGGTGTGCCACATCAAAAGCACAACCTCCATTTTCCACAGATGCTAACAAGTCCAGCTTTTAAAGATAGATATGTGCCTAAATGCTGAAACTCACAGTTGGACTTCCTTAAAAAAAGTCCCAATTTCCAGAGTCACTAAGTGCTCTTCCCACTGATTTCAAGTTGCTTCTTAATGTTCAGCTCATATCCAAAAAATTAGGAATAATTCTGTAACTTGAACCTTGTGAGTCTGATACAGGCCAATAGCTGCTCTCTCTGATAGAAGAAATGTTTATGTAGGAAAAAAACCAGACATCTTTGTGAAGATCTGGAGAAGTCAAATAAGTGCACACAGTATTCCATAGGTACAGAAGTGACAAATGATCTAAAAACCTGTTTCTTGGATTTCTGAACACTGCCAGCATAATAATAGTCTTTTCACCCCCTCCTTTTTTTTGTTTTTTTTAATGCTGACTGAGGAAGCCTGTAGTTCTATAATAATTTACTCCCACTAAAATGCCTGCCTCTGTTGAAAGGAATGCTGTCAAAGCCAGCTTAGGTTCCAGCTGATTTAAATAAAAGTACACAGCTGTCAGACAGTAAGATTAAAGCCCTGCTATGGACCTCATTGTGGAGAGAGGAAAGAGAAGAGGAGCACAAAAAGAAATGGACATATGGCCTAATTAGATCACTTTGTTTTTCCAAAATCTTCCTTACTGAACCTGTATCTTAAGGCTCTAACAATGCTAATATTTTTAACTCTGGAATGCATTGTAACTGTTTTTCTTCCACACCAAAGAGCAGGTTAAAAAGGCAAATAGCTTCACAGTTTAGTCCCAGCTCTCTATACCTAAACATGATTAGGGCCATTAGGAGTTCCTGCCTGAAAAAAAAAAGTGTGTTTTGAAAAATATTTGTAAGAGAAAGAATTTCAGTGACTTAGTTCTACCTAACTCCTGCAGATTAAGTACAACAGAGCATTGATTTATAAGATGAATGTGGTGTAGAGAATTTGTGCAGCACAAACACATGGCACATCTCCAAATTGCCTCTTCGTCAGACAGGACTGTACATCAGCTTTACAGCAGAGGTTCCAGGATTTTTGGCAGACTCAAACTGGGATGAATAAGGCCATATATCGATATCCTCCAAAAAGGACCCAAAAGCCTACTCTAGCAGACACTTGTAAAACTTCAAGCCTCTTTTATTTTGTGAGCTCCTCTGCTTGAAAACACAGCAAACTTCATATTTGTTAAGATCACACCTGCATCTAAACAACAGAAGACACTGGCCAGGAAGATCAGTGATGTACAACCTATAAAAGCAACTTAGGGTCAGACACAGCTCTCAGCAAAGCCATGGATGCTGGATTCTCAGCTGGAATCAAAAGTTGAAGACAACTCATTAATAAAATCTCAGCTGGCTTGAGCACAGTGCAGTATAGCTGAGAAAAAAGATAGAACAAGGATCTGAAATATCAACAAGTGCAGTTCAACCGTGAATGCTCAAGTATGAGCATGAAACATGGGGCACTAAGATGTTCCTACAAATAAGCTGAAGTCAAAATCTGATATTTTATATACAGGACTTTTCAACTGAGTGCAGAACAAAATCAATTTTGTACCTCATTTGGACAACAAAAAACACTCGGCAGAAATCATACGATGAAATAAAAGTGAGCTGTGTTACTACATCAAACCAATTCAGGAAGACTGCAGAACCCATATCTCGTGTCAAAGTGGACAGGTTTGCACAAAAGCACCTGAGAAAACAAGTTTAGGGCAAAGCTGCTTATGTTCTGAACCTCCTTGTTCTGTGTCAGAGAAATTGAGTAATTTTCTGTATATGCTCTCAGCACAGCTACCGTCAAAAAGAGCTGTGCTTCACACTGGATCACTGCTGTCTGGGCAGAATCTCTTTTCTGTAGACAACGAGGACAGACTAAAAGAGTTAATTAGAGCTGCTCATGAAACTTCATCCTTCCCCTCTCGTACCTACTCACCTTGCATGTTATAAGCTGCCAACTGGATGGCTGTGTCAAAAGGACATTCCAATCTGCCGTAAGAAAAATGCACTGTTAGAGCCTGAACTGACACTAGTTAGCAGACAACTTATATAACTGGCAGTAATGTTTCTGGTAAAAAAACAAAAAGGATTAGCAGATTTTCAACAAATTAACAGGAGATAAGCATTACATTATTTAAGCATTGCTGATATTCATGCACAGAAAAGTAGTATTTTAGACAAAAAAATAACATTATTAATAAAAACTTTCTAATGATCAAATAAAAGTTTAATAAATTCCATGCTAGACACACTGTATTGTTTAAATGGCTGCTTACTTTCCACTAAGAATATCCAGTTTCAGCTGCAGAACAAATAAATACCTGTAGGATTAAATAAAAAATAAGTCATTGACTAATAGTTCTAATATGTCACTCAGCCAACAGGACTAAGTTAGAGTTTGACAAATAAAAATGTTTTCTACTCTTTGCATGGGTTTTCAAGACTAAAGAAACTGCACTATGACCTTTCAAAGCTCATCAGTTGGGTTTGCGTGTTTTGCATGGATTTCAAATGAAGAAAATCCAAAGTTAGAAGTTGTCAAAAGCTGACCTACAGTGTTGCATCAAAAAGAAACAGGATATCCAAGTAAATATCATTTTTTTCTCTTTTGTTCCTACATGGGCAAAACCCAATTTGCATCTTCTACATTTCCTTCATTATTCACAGACATATCAACCTCATAAAAGAATGGTTATTTTGAAGTCTCACAAAAATAAATGCTTGTAATAGGGATTGCTTAGTTAAAATCTAACCCAAAAAGATGACTGCAAAGAGAGTAAAATTAAGGGTAGGCTGTGGCCTTTCCAACTTGTTTACTGTTTAGAGCCAGCTTTCCTCCATTGCCTTGCTTATTCTGCACTCTTCTCACTTAAAATTTGGGCAAATATCGAATACAAATCCCTTTGGTGTGCGACACCAATTTTTCCAGTCCAATACCCACGAAGAGCAGCTTCCTTGCTCCATTGTGGTACACAGCCTTCCTCCGACAAGAGAGGAACTCTCATCAAGTATAAAGCACTGGCATCTGTGAGGTATCCACTTTGAATTCTAGCACAGATGCCCAGAAGCCTTATACAACACCAAAGACAATGCTTCTGCTTCAGCGTGTGCCTGTGTCTCCTCATACTTACACACACAAACACAAACCAGATGCAAGTGTTTTTCCTACAGGTCCCACAGAAATCCAAATACTTTGCCAAACCATTTATTATCCAAAGCCTTTCGAACACTAGTCCCCATGTGGGGAATATATTTGTTTGGTACTGACCCTAGATATCAAAAGAATGAGCACAGTGTACATACAGTGGGTGTGACCAGTCTGTGCTTATCAGCCACATAACACCTGCAAACAATTCAAGCACTTCCCATGCTGTGTTACATGACCTCTGACTGACGGCATCTGATGGGAAGCTGCCAGAGAACATGAGCAAGCTGCACCTTGGAAGCTAAAAAGCGGCTTCAGCTGCCTGTCCTGCTGCACAAGGGTGGAACCCTCAGAAAGCCCCCAGTGACATCAATAACCCACAGCACAGCTCTGCTTCCCACTGCTTCTGCTTCTTTACGGTGTCAAACTGTCTCAAGACAGAAGGAAGCCTTGCTGCTCTCCTGTTGTAGGGGGATTAGCTAAGCAGGCAGACAGGGTTCAAAAGCCCTCAGGTTTCAGGTCTGCCCTGCTAAAACCTGTATAGCAAGGTCTGACTGGCAGCACTCAGTCAAGGTGAATGAAAATGTTTCATAGTGGTAGAGACAAAAGTAGGTCCAAATTTTGTCTACAGTTACTGTTTTTAAAGAGAGCTAAATATTTATTTACTAACATGAATGGGGAGGTAAAACATTCTTCCCAGATCTGCAGGGAAGCATTAAAAAGCAGCAGTTATCACATTATGTTACCACATGTAAATATGAAGTTGTACAGGGCACATATGGCTGTAAGGGGTAATGCTACTATAATCTTCCTGGTAGAACTCCCAGGGATTTGGCTAAAGATTCTCTTTAATCAAGAGAAACTGCTGCTCACCTGATACTACAATCCTACATATACAATACTGTCAACTCAACTTCTCAACATGGCAGTAAAATACTATTTTCCCTTTCCATAAACTCTACAAAGACCACAAAAGCAAGGAAATGTTCATTGAACTTCATTTTTGCCAAAGTGAAGCTCTAACTTGCAATTCAATGCTTTTCTGCCTAGAGACAGGATGACTGCATGCAGTTGAAACTAAATACAGCCTAAGAAGAATAAAGACAGAGCAATAATGTCTGTTCTCTTCAGTAAAAACCTCTGTCCATTGTGTAAAAGCTACTCAGATCAGTTGCCAGAATTGTCTAATGAAAAACAGTGCATTATGCTATATATAAATATTTAGTGCTCTTTATGTCACAGCTCATTCATTTCAAGACAGGTACATTAGGATAACAGAGCTGCATTTACAAAAAGCCAAGTTAGCAAGCAGCTCTAAGGAACTCTCTGAAACATCATACAACTGTTTAAATAAATACCACAAAGCATTTCCCTGGCCTTATTTGGGTACCTGTCTCTCACATAAAATCCCTCTTACCTTGTTAGCTCTTCCCGCAGATTATTGGGCTCTGATGAGTAAAACTTTACACGAAAATGCAGACAATATGGTGGGCCAACTGCGAAGCAGAATTCATTCAAGACAGCAGTAACAGTTAATGGATGAGACATTTCTTCATTACACAGAATCATATCACAAAACGTGACTGAAATTGGTTGGCTATGTCCTACCACAATGTCTTAAGGCAGGAATTCCTTTGTGACAGGGAAATCCATGAAGAACATCAGGGTGAAAGGACACAAATATGGACAGAAAATAGTTTTATATGTTACAAGTCAACCCAACAGTCATACCACATTAACTTGACTCAGCCTGCCAAGAGCACATGAATCTAGGTTAATCCCTATATTTAAGGACTATCCATCACCAAGAAAGCTGTGCATCTTGGCTCTGCAGTTGACTAAACCCTCAGGCACGCTGTTGGTCTCTGCAACACCTTCCCAGAGCTCTGGGAAATACTGCTGACATCTCAGACCCTTCTATTCCACAAAAGTTTAGACACATTGTATGGGGACTTAAGAGACCCTTCTACTGAAGAATCATCTTTTCTGGAAAGCAAAGAGTTAATTCAGCAAAAGGATGGATTAACAGTTCTTTAAAAATGTGCAGCGCTCTGCTGATTCTTGCATTTGACAGGAGGAATTTCTCTCTCTCTCGGTGCTTCCAAAACCTCTGTTATATTAACACAGCACCACAAATCCCTGAAGACTTCCCACAGTGCAGAGCAAGGAAGCTGCTAAACAACAATCAGCCGATGCCACATCTTACCCAAGCCACACCACTGCAACAACGAAGCTACACTAAAGGCTTGTGCAGCAGGTAAGGACTTGGTGGACTGAACAGAGATTCGGGCATTCAGGGCTGCCCCAAGGGATGGAGGCTCCAAGACACATTTTCCTACAGTCGGGATAACAATCTCTAACACTAAAACATCTTCAGCTGTCTTGATTCCACTTTAACTATAATTAATGAGCCTATAACATGTTTAATTAAGAACACTAGAATAAAGTAATATGAGCTACAGAGGGAAGAGGTTATTAAACAATCAGTAGCACCATGTGGGGCTTTTGTCACTGGGTCTTGTCACCCCTCACAGGACACTGTCCCTACCATTCCAACTCTGGTGCTTCCTGTATGTCAAGACCCCAAGAGAAAATGGAAAGGACACTTACTTTTAACTTGCTTTTTAATGCTTTTTGTGTTGTCCAGCCAATGCTGAAAAATAAATTAATTTCATTGAATTATCAATAAAGAATTCTCCCAGAAAGAATAAAAAAGGAAAAAAAACCCCTATTTGTTAGTGAAGACCATCTTGGAATAACAAGTAGTTTGTTAAAACAATCTAATCCAAATCTTTCACAATTCACAGCTCTCTCTGTGCTCAATGAAGATCCTTTTGTTTAAATTTTGAAATGCAAATTGTCAGTTTTGAACAACATCCTGTAGTACCTTATTTAAAGCCAGTCCTGAAGAATGTAGTTTGTACTTAAAAGAAAACATTCTAACAAACCACTTCACTAGAATTTTCATCTTGTCCAAACAAACACTTAATTCACACATTAGTAGGTCAGCCAGTGACAATGTGCAAGAGAGGCATAAATCATAGCTGGAGACTCTGGCACTCAGTTGTGTGTGATGTTTACTTGAGGCAGGAAGGGGAGAGACAAAATAAATATTGTTGGCTTCCAGGCATTTTCTTAAGATGACTAAAGTGCAGTAAAAGCAAAGCCATCTATGTCCCAACATTAGGCTCAGCTCTACCTAACTCTCAAAAATCTATTCACAGGTGACATTTTAACAACTATCACAAAAGGACAGAAGTTACTGCCTCACCTAGCTAATTATAAGCTGTATACTAGACATGAAGCCAAAATAATGGCCTCACCTCTAAGGTGTACAACAGCAAAAGAAAAAGAAGCTATAGATGGCAGATTGAGAGAAACACCTACACATATACACTGTGCTTCCCAAAATAATTGCACATAATCGCAGTGCTGGAGAGTTCATCCCAGAAGTTAAAGCTCAGAATCTAACACATGGCTAGTGGGAGAGATCTCCTTCCTCGATATAGCCAACAGCTCCCTCCTCCAAAGGACGTGATTCAGTTAAACAGGAAATATGGCACCCTAATTCAACCTAATTGCATTGACTCTACAGCCAGAGCAAACTACCTAACACACCATGTCCTGCATGGGTCACCATGCCAGGGAACACCACCTCATCTGATCAATCCCAAATGTCACCTTGCAACTAATACAGATAAATTATATACTCAGCAACACTCCTCTTTTTAAACTATGTGCCATGAAGTTCACAGAGGGCCCCATGGAGGACAGAGAAGCAACAGGAGTATGAAAAAGAACCGGTATTTTCAGGTTGCAATGCCAAGTGCAAACACATTCCTGTCTTCAGAACAGCCCTGCCTTCTGCAGAGAGTGTGTGAAGTCAGCCTGTCATACAGCCGGGATGTGCAGAGATTGCTCTATTAGCTGCAGATCAGAACAACTGAACCATCTGCTGCTGCTGTGCACACAGCTGAAAATGTTCTCATTACCTATTAAAACAAAGTGGCTACAGAAAGCTATCTGAAATGTATCTAATACATTTTTAAAATAAAGCAGGAAGCTAAAGGAAGAATAAAGTAAATATTGACGTCTATTTTGCTTACACAACCAGGGAAATGGAGTCAAGCATTTTTTTCTCTTCCAGAAAATCATAATATTTTTCCTATTCCATAAACTCGCTGTAAGAGACAGCCTACTTACTCCTTCCTCCACCAAAAAAATATACAAACTACCCACTCGGAGGCTTGCAGGTGATTTAGATGCAGGAATGACAAAGAGAGCCCTTTCTAGGCTCCAGGACGGGCTGTGCCCGCCTGTTTCATCTCCCTCCTGTTTTTTCTCATCTCCTCCACATTCCATGGGAAGGCAACCAAGAGGCCCAGGACAGGCACCGATAGCACTTCTAGCACTTCATTCTGCTCAGCTCCTACCACTGCTGCTCACAGGAGCTCTGTCTGAATGGTGAGAGTGTGCATGGAAGAAGGGAAACAGAACTGACTTTAAAGGGGGGGTGGGGGTAAAACAACAAAAAAAAAACAAACCAACACACAAATGAACAGACACAGACGTCAAGAAATTTGAGATTTATTCCAAGTGATTAAAATGGAATTCAAGTGGACCTGGCAAAAAAGTTTACTTTTGATGAGAGTTTGCTCAGCACAGTCTACTGCTGAAATCCAGAGATAAAGTTTGCTAAACAGAAGGCAATACAAACAACAGACTGTACAGGGTACTGGAAGTCCTTACTAAAATAGTTTGCTGCTGCAGAAACTAAAAAACCCACACACATTAAAAAAAAAAAAAAAATCAAAATCCCAACCCAGCAAGGGTTTTCAAAACTTTGTGTAAATTACGTTTGTTTAGTAAGACACTGAGGCTAACACTGGTCCCACACTTTATGGAATTAATGGGTTCATACTTAGTGCAATGCTATGCAAATAATTTCCAGCATTAAGCACTACATCAAATAAAACCGCCAGAGTAACAAACCAATGTGTTGTAGAATTCCATTAGGAAAAGCAAGTACTTCATGCTTGCAGCCTGTAGGTTAGCATTAGAAATTAGCTAGAATGTTCAGCGCCTCTTACTAGAAACACCTCTCAAGCACTGCTGGAGGAAAAGTCCAATAGCCCAACGAGTAATGAGGAATCTTCATCTTTTGCATCACTGGACATGCTACAATGTTCGCTGTAACTCAAATTAACCTGTTCCCTCAGCTCCCAGACCAAGCCTAATATATGGTAGATAACCTTGCAAACAGCTCTTTTTGTCACCTCCTGCCATTACTTAGAAAGGTGAATCTATTCCTAACCATCAGACTACAAAGAATACAGAAATCTCAAGAAAATGACAATTCTTTCATTCAATTCAACTAACTGTTTCAAGAACTTCTTTAAAAAAGCAATTACTTGATTACTAAAATCCCAAAAGTCAGGAAGAGTTTATACTGTGTTCTCACCAAGCCCCAGTGCATCATAAACTCAAACTAGTGACTACTTCAGTAGCAGAAAAGAAGAAAAAAAAAAGGCAATCCTTTAGTGTATGGATCTATTGAGAACTCATTTGTAGTCAAAACAAGTAGGAAATTTCTCAGTAACTGTAACTAACTAGTTCAGTAATATACTTGGATTTAAATTGGGTAGCATAAAGACTAACTCCTTCAGAGCTAGTGGACAATTCTGTCCATAGCAAGGGACTGGATTCTTACACTGTTTATTTAACAGGTCTCCTGAATAATCTTTGACAAGTCATTTGATTAGTCTCTGCCTTTGTTTCCAGCTGCAGATTGGGTTTCTGCTAGAACTCGCCAGCTCCTCTTTGCAGGAACGGCTGCTATCGCAACAGTTCTTCATTTCTAAAACCAATTAATTATCTCTGGCTGTTGCACTCAGCTCTTCTGGCAAAATCCAGTCTTTTCTGCTTCGTTATACACAGTACATCATTTAAGGTCCAGTTTAAACAGATTGTTATCTCTACTCTGCTGCTTTTCAGTCACAGATAGTTAAAAAAAGGAAGCAAACCAAGCTCGAAATCCCCTGTACCTGGTAGACTGTGCAGTATCAAATACTCAATCAGGTGCTGTCAGGACTGGAAGTAACAATTTGCTGGACAAAAGCAAGCCATCAGCCACTGCTGAGGCAGAAAAGATTAACTCTTATTTCCCCATTTCAAGATGCAATGGCCTTATTTGCTAACATCAGTAAGAGAAAAAAGTTTATCATACAGACAGTTTCACCAGTTAAAACTCTGTGAGATCCTAGAGACATGGAAATACATCAGAAGCCACATGGCAGTAACTGAGTTAGGTATCTAAAACATACAGGTACAAAAAGATAAATGCAGTGGAGTCATTAACTATCAATACTCAACATCCTGGACTGCACAGGCTTAACAAAACTAACATGATTTTTATAATGTTATAAATGCTGTTTTCTCATTTCTATTGGTATGCATGGTTCTGAATGCCATCCCTCCACTACTGTAGTGGTCTTTTCCTCCTCAGTGTTAAATGTCTCTGCTCTGCAAGAGGTTTAAGACCACTTTTCACTACTGTGAACTGCAGCCCAGCAACAGCTAATGCCACTAGCCATGAAGTTTGCTTCAGACCTTGATCACCAGTGATTTTCTCTAAAAAGAATGTTCTCTACAACTACAAGCTAAATATGAAATCTGATTGCTTCTTTGAAAAGAGGCCACCAGGTTATAAATGTGTTTCGAGGCAGTGTACTGTGTCCAAAGTTTCTTTCAAAGATTCAAGTTTGTGGAGTTTTCTGCCATTATACAAAGTTGTAACACATATGAGATCACCTTCAAATTGTTCTGGACATGGACCTTCACATAAGTCAAGGAATATAAGTCACTACCTCCATTTTCTATGCTGACCTTGAACAATTCAGATATTTGGTTCAGCAGAAGCTCTCTGTGCTTCTCGTTTGCCATCCTAATCATGAAATAATTGTGAAGTGTCTTTAAAAAACAGAAAAAAATATGTCATAAATCTAAGAAATAAGATTGACATATGCAGTATGAAAACACACATCTCTTTCTACCTGGGGATGTTGGGCTAAGTGAATACAGGCTTAAGTTACAAGGATGAAGGACAGAGAAAAGAACAGTCCTTGTCTAATGACTCACTTAACTTGCAGCTATCCCATGTGTACAGGATTACGTACTTGGCTCTAAGAAGAATCTATATAAAATTGCAGAGATCCCAAGTGAAAGAACTGTGGTTGTTTCTGACAAACAAACAATGCTCTGTGCTTCTGTTGTCAAAACCCTTCACATTTTTACCAACACACAATATAACACAAACAAATGCGGGCTTGGAAGTACCCTCTACTCAAACTGTCTGGTACATACAAACATACCTAATAGCCTCCCAAAATTTCTAGCTGCAGGTCTGAGTCACAGCTAATTTGAGCAAATCAAAGGTATACCCCTCCTGCAAGCAGACATTAACAAGATGACTTTTGCTGAAGAGAACACTGATGGCACTGGCAAAGGAAAACTTTCTCCACTCTGTAGAACAAAAGGTCAAGCACACACTCCAGTTCTGCCCCTTCCTCTCTGCATCAGCAGCACCAAGAGTTTCTAGATGACACACCAGGCTCTGGGGTCCTGCTGCACCAGCCTGCCCAGTGACAACAGGAGGTGTGACAGGAACACGTGAAAGATAAGAAAGGAAGAGACAACAGCGTTGTAATATGTTAGTGCTGAAGGTGGAATTAAACTCAGGGACACTGAAACTAACACACCACAGAACTTCTGCACAAGACTTAACTCACAAAAGGCAGCTTTCTTATAGGATTTCTATCAATATTAAGATTTAACTTTTAGACTGTTGCTTAAAAAAAGAGCATTGCTACTCACCGCCACTTGTGCAGAATCCATGAACCTTAATCCAAAGTAGTCGCTTTCTATAAGGTCCAGATGATACATGATCTGCTCAAACAGCAGCTGGCCTTTGGCTTTTTTCTGAAAATACAAAAGGTTTAGTACTCATCAGGCAGATTTATTGTAGTATCTACCTTCTTCTAGGTATACTTCCTACCCTGATTCCAGTAGTAGGAGAATCACAAAATTTAGCATCTGGAAATATAACATGGACCTTCCAACCCCCCATATTTTTTGATGCCTGTTTTCCTTAAAGGTAAATGTACACCCCACAGGAAGTACAACTGAGTGGTAAAATGTCATTTTATCATTTTCCCTCTTAGGATCTCCTCACTCACTGAAATTCAACAGGACTGGAAACACTGATAGTACAACTGCAATAACTAATGCACTGGAAAATTTTCAGAGCCAAGTACAGCAAATTGCTTATGAACTTACTACTGTTTAATATCTAGGCAATTCACCACTTTTGAAGCAGGCAGCAAAGCCTATTGAATTAGGATATGGCATTCCATTTGCAAGTGCTTTCAACAGCTACCAGGAAATAGTCTGGGGCAAGGAACTTGAACAAATAGTACTTAGATAACACATTTATAGAAGTAAGTTCATAGAACTCACTTCTAGGCGCAAAAAGCCACCTCATATGCTCATACATAATTTATGAAAAAATTTAGCCCTGGCCCCAAGGAAACATCATTTTTACAGTGATGATCTAAAAAATTTAAAAGTTCTTTTTAAAGAGAAGGCATATAAGTAGCACTGTGCAGTTTCTACACGACATATATTTTTCAGGCTGTGAACTCCTTTATAGCAATAAACAGAAAGAATAGTTTAACAGTTATACCTAGGATGCCTAAATGTAGTAAAATACATTAATAAATTAGTAAGCTGCAGTACAAGTCATGGTGTTGAAAAGAAATATTTTTAAATGCAAAGAAATGCAGAAAGGATTTATGCTTACTCTGCAAGAAGTTTAAGGATTCCTTTATTTCAATAATACTATCATCTTGCAATCTTTTTATCTTAATATTTATACATTCATAACTTGAGAAATGGGCTTACTTTTTAAGCATATTTTTAGCCGGCTATTAATTAGCAGATTTAGTCCACCTCTCAAAATTCTGTGTCGGCCATATTCATATCCTCAGAAATAATCAGGTTTAATCAGCAAGTAATATCCAAGTAAGTAAAGCTGCATATGTAATTTTTGCCACCTTCCTCTACCGTGATCTTTAAACATTTTATATTTAACTTTGCAATCCTAATCATTGGTTTACTTGATGCGTTACATAATATACCACAGTTCAAAGCAAAATATAAAAACAAGTCTGAAAACTGAGCCTGCCTAAGCAAGTTCTCACACAGTTATTTCCAAGTATTGGGGAGAACAGTGGGAATGGAAGGGAAGCAGGACACCTCACATACACACAGAACCCAGAAACGTTGTGTAATGGAAATAATGAGATGTTGACCTCATCAAATTCGTTCAGGGAAAGTTTTTTGTGTTGACCTAAGGAAAAAAGTACTTTTCAGGCAGTAGCGGATTTATGAAATACCCACAAGAATCTCCCAACAGAACCCTTAAGGCTATATATCTATATATGTAAAGCCACAGTTTTCTTCCACTATTTGAGTTTGTTGCCTGTCTTTAAAGACCAAGACATTGAACTGTCGATATTTGTCCTCAGCACAGGGTATATTCTGCTTAAACAATAATATATACTAATACAAATTAACTAAATTCAGCACTTGTCACAGTAACACTAGAAAAACACTATTTCACATTAAGCTCTCTGCAGCTTGTCTAAAACTAGTAGAAAATCTGCTCTTATTGAGCAGAATGTTTTAGATCCTTCCCAATTCCTCAGTAGGTCATCTTTTAAAACTGTAATTAACCAGTTATCTCAGCCAAATTCCCTGTTGGTGACAGGAGCACTTTGACTCAAGCCTGGAATACTCCACATACTATCTCAGACTACCAACAACTAAAACCGAATTTCTGTAGCATCAAGTTAGTTTCACAGCGTGTTCACCATTTCGGTCCTCTCAGCAGAGGACTCGAAGATTAAATGGACCGAGAATAATGCGGGAGAAAGTCCCTGAAGAACCAGTGCAGCGGCTGTGGAAAGATTTGCAGGGCTACTCGTTGTTTTCTGACTTAAATCTCCCGGGCTATCAACATGGAATTCATTATGTACTACTCTGCATGTGAATTAAATCATCACCAGCTGTATTTGGTTCAAGTCAACAAAGGCGTCACACATGCTTTACTTACTGCAGTCCTTCCTCCTTATATTTAAATAAACGGCAGGCAAAAATATTATTGCTTTGTAACCAATTTTTAGGAATCAAAATTAGTTTCTTTGTATTCAATGAAATTGCGACATCAAGTGTTTTTAAAAAGCTACACTACAAAAAGATACACTTTTATTACATTTTCTTATGAAAAATTGCTCTATCTAACAGCAACATTCAATTTAAGTGACATTGTTACACTGCCCCTAAACCCATGCGCTTTTCCCCCCCCCCCTTTCTTTTCCTTGCAGCAGAGCTCAGGTTACTCTCAAAGGACAAATATTTTCAAACTGCTTAATGGTTACCGATGAACTACTAACGACTCCACTCACAAACAGTCCAGTCAGTGGCTGGTCCTCCCTTCTGGGCACAAATTAAACTCCTCATGGGTTTACAATTCAGTAAAACCCGACTACTTGATTTACACGTTTTGCTGTTCTCTGTAGGAAGCAACAGCAAACATCTCACAGGAGAAGGAGAATCAACAACAGGAAAACTTCAATAAAATATATCATATATATAAGGCAGGGCATCTAATAGTTTTGCCACACTGTGGGATAAGATAAAAGCATCTTCTGATCACTTTGGTATGAATCACATGGCCCCCAGCCCCCTCCCTCTCTTCCCCGAATGAAAGGGATGCTCCCAACTATGTCCTAATGACACCTCCTGCTGTTCTTAATAACTGCAATTGCTGGCTGAGTAGGTGTTACAAAGGCTGGGCTTAACCCCGGTAACTCAGCAGAGAGGTGGGGTGTTCACCTCGCCGTGCTGGTTTGTCCCTTCATTCCCGGAATAAAGTGATTTGGAGACATCCACCTCGACTCGGGCACCTCAATCACTGCCTAAAACTTGAATAGCAGCATTTATCCCCTCCTCTCACAACCTGCCTGACTGATGTAAAAGCCATTTTCAGCACCAGAGCAGCCAGTACAGACCGGCACTGGTGAAGGAACACGGGCTTACAGCAGCTGGGGATGACAGCTTGTGCTGGGTGGGCACCAGCTGAACGGCTCACTTCTGAAGGTTTTTATTAGGTTTTTAATCACAGGGAAGTCTTTTTTTCCAAAACTTGAAACAAACACAACAACAACAAACCAACCAAAACGCCCACCTAATTAATTTGCTAACTAAAATGCTTATCAGAAAAGGATTTTCTCCTACTTATTTCTTTGTGAAGAAATGGAGGTCCCTACATAAGATGAACTTTGAAAAAAAGAGATCAGTAGGCATTATCTTCATGGGGACTTAGTATCCTTTGTGTCTCTTCAGAGCACTCTTTTCATTCAGAAGACTTCTTCATATGATCATATTAGTAGCCATTGTATCCAGAAGCAAAAACTTCCCTTCCTAGTTTTTGTCAACTTATCAGGAGGGTTACCATTCATATGCATACTGGTTTCCTTAGAAATACACTGTTTACACACACCCAGAGCAGAGACGGATTCCCATTCAGAATTTACAGCTACCCGGTTGCCAGGATGTCACCTACGCATGTTTGCAGACCAGAGCAGTGTGGAAGCAGCAGATGAGCCTGTCCACCTTTTTAATGAAGTAAATCCCCTTCTCCCAAACGACATGTTTCGAAAAAAACCAAGCCATGAGAAAGCTCCAACAGTGAGCTTTAAAGGAAAAGATTTCATCTCAACATCATGCAAACGGTGTCTATGGTTAACACCATTAAGGTTTGCTGGAGAACTGGAGGGTTAAAACCCCTTATCTTTACAAAGGCAGTGTTAGAAGTACACATTATTTGTATCACCCTGATCTTCTTAGGGCTTTAATAAGCACTGACCTACAAATGGAGCTGCTCCTCTCCTCAAACTCCAAGCACTAGTCTTTCAAATAACTTTTTCCAAACTCGCCAGTCAATTTTCTCATTCATCTAAAGATGCCACTAGCAGCAAAACACCAGTTCTGCTTCTCTCTTTGGTTTGTCCCCTGTCATTGACAATATGTGCCATATACTGTGGTGAATATAAAGCCTTGCAGCCTGATGGCTGCAGAGAATTTCTACCTCCAGAGACACAGCTTATCAATTCTTCTGTTTACTCAATGTCTCACAAATACGGGAAGATAACCATTTGAGATTAAACACTTTATTCTGTTATTCTCTGGAGAAAGAAAAAGGCATTTCCCAAAAATCTTTATAAAGAATTGATTTCAATACCCATTATACTGTACATTTATTAGAGTGCTACGTAGAAGGATTTTAATGTACTGTGCTCAGGCTTATTGAACCTATTACATAAAAAGACAAAGACTCAAAACATTCATACTTGTCAATTTGTTTTGTGGAAGTCTCTGTTTCATCTCCTTGAAAGTTTATGTCTTCTAGCTGATTTACCCCATTTTTGAATTCTCTCTGATATGGAATATATCCAAACTGCTTGTCCAGCATTAAGGTTTAAATGCCTCCCCACAGTATATTTTCAAACATTTCAGTCTTATCTGGTGTTCCACCTGCAGCTTTCTCAGGAGCACTCTGATTAAGAGCACCCCAGAGCCTCAAGTCCTTTAGCTCTTTTGCAGGGGCATTTCAGCAGCAAAGGAGGGCTTCAGACAAAATTCACTGTTATACTGTGAGTTAAGAATGCTGAACCTTCAGGCAGCTACACCCTGGCAGCACACTGCAGGCTGAACGATTCACTCTGGCAGCAAACACAGCTCACTTCCAGCTGCTCCCTTTCCAACCGTGCCAGGGCATAGAGCATCGCAGCAAGGCTGAAATGCTCACCTGCCACTAACCCCAAACGCCTGGACACCCTGCAGGACCCGGAGCAGGC